GCACCTTCTTGGTAATGCATATCCAAGCGTTATTTGATTTAAGATTTTTTTGTTGATTGTGCCACAGAGCATGTCGGTGAAGCTTCAGCCAGCCTCTCAGACTCGTCTCCCTCCTTACAATCCTCTCCTGCCTCCACCTGCCGTCTCACAGGTTCTGCTGTTGACTAATCCTCAAAGTGTGAGTCTAAATGACTATATCTGTTTAATACTTGTAGCACATAAAAACTGAATGATTATACCTGAATTTATGAAGACAGTTTGGTTTGATAAACATTACAGCACAATTGTTTGTGCTGTAATGAATTGGTTCTCAACACTGGTCCTTGAGGAACACCATCCTGCATGTTTTAGTTCTTTCCCTGCTTTGACACATCTGATTTAAATGAATGAGTGATTAACAGGCTTCTACAGAACATGAGGAAGTAATTAAATCACTGAGTCAGGTGTGTTGGAGCAAGAAAACAAAAACATACAGGATGGTGTTCCTCAAGGACTTGGGTTGGGAACCACTACTTTAGTGATGCTTTAACACTCAAAGCAGCTCAGTTCTGTCCTCGTTTGCTACCTGAACAAATTTTCAATTTGTCCTACGAGAAAAGAGGTAAACCTCATCTTAGCATAAGAAAACCTTCTATAAACCTGATTTAGCTTTTCATTTACTTTTGAGTTCTCTTACGTCAGGCAGATTTTAAATGGTTCTCTGTCTTTATTTATTTTTTTGTCCTTCAGAGTAAAATTCGGCTGCGCTACAAGCTGACATTGATACATGGAGACCAGCAGCTGAATGAGACGGGAGAAACTGACACTTTTCCTGACTGGAACACTTTGATCAAGAACTAAAAATGACAAAAATACTCCAGAATCTGAGGAAACGGAGTACAAAGAAGCAAACCCAAAACAAGCTCAAACAAAAATGGGGGCTAGTTTTTTTTTTTGTGAATGTTGCAAATCTCCTAAAGATTGAAGCTGCGGCTGTTCTTGCAACAACACTTGTAATTCCACACCAATAACCATGTGATGTGAACTTGCCAGAAGTGCAAAGTTTTATAAAACAGCATTTGTTAGCACTGCAGCAATCCACTGTAGTCTCACTTTCGCTCAAACTAGATGTTTAAAATCTTTAAATAGATATCTATAACAGGCAAGATATTAGTTGCTCATAACCTTTCCACAGAACCGCTCCTCCAAATATCTGTTCTGTTGCTTTAAGAGCACTGTTGAGTTTTAGCTAAACTTGGAGCGATGTGACTCAAATAACCTCTCTTCCTGCAGGGAACTCACTACTTCCTCCCCATTTACACTTGAATTTTATACGCACGCTTGATTTTAGCGTTATTGTTATTAATAAAAAGTTTTCGGCTGGTTAGCTGTGATTTCATGTTCTCAGTCAGCAGGGAGTCCACTGACCAGCAGAGGAAGCAGTGTTGCACCTTTCAGTGGTAGTTCTACTTCTTTGTTTTAATAAGTCCACAAACAAAGTTCATAATTAAAACTTGTTTTATTTATGTAATGTTATTTCCATGCGTTCTTAGCATTTAACATTTTGTGTGCCTTTGATTAAAATGCACCTGTGTCTACAGGTAGTTTTGAATCAAAACTTTATTCAGGTATTTAGGACATGTGCTGCTGTGATTTCTGTCCCTGGTTGTCAGAACTGTGTCTTAATTAAGTCCATTTTCTTCTGACAAGATATCGGTTACACGTGTGCTAATGAACATACTTTTATTTACTTGTGTTTTGGGTTCGTTCAAACATCCAGAACTACTTAAAATGGAAGATGTTTTGTTTTTATTGTGTATTTATTGTTAAAAAACAAAGAAAAAGGTTTAATTACATGTTTTGTTTTCTCTTTGAGGTCACAAGTTTGATGAAACTCGTGTAAAATGTTTTTGCTCTACCTTTTAAAATTACTTTTGCTTTTCAATTAACCTTAAACTTTTTCTCTAAATATGTTTTTCTTTTAAGTAAACGTGAAAATGATCATTGCCAACCAAAACATACGGAGCCTGTCACCGTATGGGAAACAATGACACAGAAGTATTTCAGTTTGATCGCAGGAAAACCAAACTGATAATCTAAACTTTTTTTTGTTGTTTTTTTTAACCACTGTTTGTTTATCATTGACCTTTTTAACTGGACATTGTATGTTTTGTCTGCAGGTGACGTTTGTACTTTAATCTTGTTTCTTTATCTCTCGTGTCGACAGCGTTTCTTAATTTGTCGTGTTTATTTGTGGTCATTTTTGTGTTGATAGTTCCTCCTACTCTGTTTTCTGTTGTAAACTTCTGAATAAGACACTGTCTGACCTCATCACAGTATTTTCAATAGTCTCATGTTGGACCATGAAGCTTTAAAGTGTCCAGAAGGTTCACATGAGTTTATATGAATAAAAATTTAACCTTAAACTCCTTCTATTTCTTCATCGATAACTGTCAGATTGTTCAGCGTTATTTCATGGTTAAATCTTAAAGAAAGAACTTGTGTTGGCAGCACTCAGATTATGTTTTTGGGATCAATCTCTGCCACTACCTCACCAAATTATAGATGCATGTCTGTAAAATTAACAGTCAGAGGGCTGCCGGCCTTCTTGAATCAGATTGACTCTAAAACATCCAATCTGAATTTTTGTTCAAATTTGTCCAGTAGTTAATGAAATATTTAGCTAACAGGCTAAATTATAACTTTGTCTTTGCCTTTGAGAGGAGGGCAATAAAAAAAAAAAAACATCTATTTAGTATAGACTAAAAAGAATAATTTATTATGTAGAACAATAGAACCAACATTATTTCTTTCATAACCTTTTTCAATAAAAACAAGCTATTTTTATTGAAATTGTTGTTGTCTAGTTCTGGATTCTGCAGGAACATTTTTCAGTAACCTCTTCAAACCAGCCACTGTTAAACAGCATTTAAACCAAAACAAAGCGGAGTGAAAGTGGCTGAAAGTATTTACTTGAATGTTCATCCTGTGAATAACCTAACAAGTTGGTAGAAACATGTCTTTGGATAAAATCCTCTCGGGAACTGTTGGTGAAGATGACAGAAGTCAGAACCCATCAGACCTTTCAGACCAAGAAAATATGTGAGTTTATTTACCGCCAAGTTATTTTTATAAGCATTTGTGTCTGATTGCCATCCCTCAGTCAGTGTTTACTCGGTTATTATTATTATTTTTATAGGGATCAGACTGGGAATGTGACTCGAGGCACAAAGGAGAAATTCCCAGATGAGCAGCCTTCCTTTGAAAGGGTGAGCTGAACTACTAAGATCCTCAGAACTTCTATAATCTGTTCATGTCTTAATGACATTGTGTCATCAAATAAACAGCTACTCATTAATTTACTTTCAAAATCATACCACATGGAACTATTACAAAACAAAGATGATTAAACTGCATGTTTATACATTGTTTTCTCACCACAGGCAAGAAAAGTGGATAATGACTTCTGTGAACCTGCAAAAAAAGCAAAATGGACGTTGTCAGGACAGCCAGCGAACACAAACAAATCTAAAACTGCAAAAGTTGACAAGCTTCCTGATGTTCTTCTGCAGCTACTGAGGTACGCCCACACAAACACTCTTTCTGCCGTTCTGTTCAATACCACGATGGAACGTACATCTTTGGTGATAATTTTAAATCAAGAATTGGGTGTATATGTTTGAATTATTAGTCAATTTCCTCTATACCAACTGTCAAGCATGATGGTGGTAGCATCGTAGTGTGGGACTGTTTGGCTGCCAGTAGTGTAGGTGTATTGTACAAATGTAGTGAACTCGGCCTCCGACCAAAACCTGCCTCTGAGGACCTTCATGGGACAGGAACTGTTATTTCATTGATTTGAATCCAGAAACACAAATTAGCTCATCCAGAGACTGTCCAATTGTATCCTGAAGTAATCAATTGAAAGAACACTCATCTTTTATATTATCATTACTGTTTTACAATATCTTGATAAATCAAAAGTGTGTTTAGTTCATACCATTTCTAAATGTTGAAGTGAACCACTCATTTTAAATCAACTGTGAAAAAGTATTAATGATTTTTTAATCCTCATTTAAATTAGAAATCAAGTTAAATGTCTATTTTACAAAGTAATTATGCATTTTTGATCTTCTGTCTAAATGAGAAGTAGTGATGTCGGTCGAAAGTCAGAGAGAAGTTATTAGAACGAAGTGTCGTGTTTTTAAACCTAGCAGACGGTAAACAAGAAGCTACTGGCCTCTCTTCCTCCCACTTCGACATAACATGTCTTCTGTCTGTACGGGACGTTTCTAAAACATTCCTGCTGTTTTCTTGACTTGCAATGACCCTCTGACATCACTAGAACCACCCCCTGTTGGTTGCTTCAACCAATCAGGAAGTCCTGAGGTGACCGGAAGTGAGAACTCTTTAAGAGTCCACACTTCCTGGAACTTCTCAGGTCAATGAGGTCAATCGGGTCAACTGGGTCTCGCAGTCGGTCTTCAGTCTGCTGGAATCCTAGACCAGATTCTTCCTGGGTCTTTCATGGAGTCCTCCACGTCTGAGTGGAATCTCCGACTGAACTCACAGCTTGCTGTGTATTCCCCCGGGAGATGAGCGTGTTTGTTGAACGGAGTACCGTCACTACTTCGGACGATTCTCAGCCATCCTTACCGGAGATGCTGAAAGGTCGCGTTGAAATGGACTCCTATTCCTGAGCTGAGGTATCCCGTCTAAGGTAACGAGTCGCCACGCGCCAAGTGTACCGAGGCTGAGCTGGGGTCGGATGAAGGGTGCCGTTCCTAGTCAACACACATTCCTGTTTATCCATCTTTTCTCTCCATTTAAACTCCTCCTTTTCCCTTCTTTAAACTCTTCTATTTTGCCAGTAATTAATCTAGATGCCTTCAGAAATGTCTGTTATTTTTATTATGTAAAACGTGCCAAGTTTTATTAATCAGAACCAGATCAGCTAATCACTTGTACATTTTGATGTTAAGTTTTGATTCTGTTCAATAAATGACCACATTTATTCTGATGGGTCAAAGAAAATTAACGTCTCATGTCACTGATTAAACAATCTACGCACAGTTACCTCGGTCACATGGCTGTAATTTAGCTCGAAAAAGAGAGAACCCGTTACTTAAATATAATTAGTAGTGAAGGTACAGCAAAGCTGACCTTGAGACACTTCACAAAGCAGCTGGAAGAAGGACGGCCTCAAGAGATGTGACCCGTGCTGGCAAAATGTGTCAGAATGAGCACAGGCTGTAGTGCAAAGAAATTAAAAAGATTTTTGTTGTAACTGAGATTTGCGTAAAAATGATTTCCTAAAGAAACCACCTTTCAATATCAGAAATTAAAATAGCATCTAATCTTCATAATCTGCCTTCAAGTCCAAGTTTTCTAACTGGTTTGTCTTCAGATATAATCCTTTTTAATTTTTTTTAAATTGACTATCTTTGACGGCTGCTGTAGTGCCAGGAAATCCCTTCGTAGAATGTTTGGCATTGTTGTGAAGCATGGACCTTTTTAAATATAGTGCTGGAATTTTCACTGACATTCTAGACTGATAAACAACAAGTTTTCAAACCAGCACGCTCATAAACAAAACCGTCTTGGTGTCAGGCCAGGTGATAAATACCAAGTTTGAATAGATTACAAATTATTTTGAAGCTTTTGAGATGGAAAATTTGAAAATAATAACTCGATATTAAAAAAAAAAATCTTTATTGTGACTCATTTTGCCCTCATGGATTACAAATATCTATAAAACAAGACATGTTTTCCAAAATATATGGTTCTCAAACTGTAGTACAAGTACTACTAGTGTTGGTATTCAAAATAAACTTTGGTATTAACCTATCCTGATGCATGCTCAATAATCCAGGTAGAAAAATCCAAAAAAGTTCAATCTGGTCCTCTGGACATTCAAAAAAACAAAAGCAAAACAAAGCAAAAAAAATCTAGAAACGTTTCGTCTCTCATCCAAGAGACTTCCTCAGTCTGAGGTGCTGTTTTCAGCTCAGTCTCTTAAATAGCACCTTCTTAGAGTGGATCAACCAGTTTGCTGCTGACAACCAAAACCAGCTGATCACATGCTCAAGAAGGACCATCAGCCTAACAATGGATCATTAGCACACTGATGGCTGTTTACTACTCACAGAGGGCTGAGTGATACTAGCAATCACAGCATTGTAAGAGGGGGACAGTTGAACCCGGAGGCCTCCACCCCTGTTTAATGATGGACGGTTTCTTTTCACAAAGATGGCCTCCTTTACTCCTCTCTCAAACCATCGTTCCTCTCTGTCCAGGATGTGAACATCTTCATCCCTGAAAGAGTGACCACTGGCCTGGAGATGAGTATAGACCGCAGAATCCTGGCCTGATGATGTTGATCTTCTGTGCTGGGCCATCATTTTGGCCAGTGGCTGTTTAGTTTCCCCGATGTAAGACTGATCACAGCCCTCCTGACACTGAACAGCATACACAACATTGCTCTGTTTGTGCCGGGGGACTGGATCTTTGGGATGAACCAGTCTTTGCCGTAATGTATTTTGGGGTTTAAAAGCCACTGGGACGTTATGTTTAGAAAATAAACGTCTCAGTTTCTCTGATACCCCCTCAACATACGGAATGACCACTGGCTTTCAGCCATCAGGTGAAAAGGAGGAACCCAGACCCAGACCAGTGGCCAGCCGCTCAGGGTGGACGCTCGAGCATGAAGTCTCAACCCTATGCGCACAGTGCGCACAGTTTCCACGTGGCTGACGGGATGCGGGAGTATACTGAAGCCTTTCATTTCTCATCCGAGGGGCTCTCTCAATTCAAAGAAAGGAGTGTGGGGTTCGAGTTATAAAGCTGAGCTAAGCTAGATACATATGCAGATTGCCCTCTCACTCCTCACAATAGGGGTTTGTTAGGGTCTTTGTTAGTCTGACTCAGAGTAGCCACTCTGGTCACATGGCTGAAATTCCTGATAGGTGTGAAAATGACTGGATATCAGTCCTAAAGCTGCATGATAAGTTTTAGAAAGTTAAAATCTGAGACTCCTCCTCTGTTTAAAGATGGTTTCTCATGTTTTACATAAATGGTTTCCTTCACCCGAAACGTCTTCTATTACAAAATGAAGTAGTTTTTGTCTTGAACTTTTTTGAAATGACCATGTCCTGGATGACTGAGAATCTTCACCAGCGTATCTGCGTACATCCCTGCATCCATCCGAATCTTAAAACACTTAACATATTTTTTTTATCAATAACCCAAATACAAATGAATTGATCATATTTATTATATGACATCAGCAGATTAAAATACATGTTTATTATGTACATATATGCAACAAGGGTGTTAAATAAAGTGCCAAATACATTTTTTTTTTTTTTTTACAAAAGAAGAAAAAAAAAACATTTGTGGAAGACCATAACACCTGTTGGCTTGGTCCCACAGATTCATTGCTTTGTGACAAGTCAGCCCCCATACCCCCACCCCCCATCCCTGGTTGGAGGCCGCGTTGCTCAGTGCTGGTTGTGGGACAATTTGGCACAACTCAGGTGACAATGATGTCACAATGGCATAAACACTTGGTGTTTTAATTTTTTTTTATCTTGACACAACTCAACATCGACACATACGATACATCAGCCTTTTATGTTTCCACTTTGAGAGGAGAGTCCACATATTTTATTTTTTTAAGAAATGTGGGAAAATCCAGCATCGTCACTTCAGGGCTAACATGTGAGGAGGATACACGGTTCGTTGACCACAGCGTTTGAAGCTTCCTGTGGAGTACACCAATCATGACAAAGTCGGGACGTTGTGTAAAGCATAAAATGAAACAGAATGCAATGATTTGGAAATCTTGTAAACCCATGTTTTATCTGCAGCGAATCATCGTTAACTAGTCAAACCTTGAACAAAAGCAATGTTATGTTTTTTTAAATGTAATTTAGAATTTGGGGGCAGCAACACATCTCAAAAACATTTGGAACTGGTGCACCAAAAGGCTGTAAACGTAGGTGGTATGAGGAGGAAACAGCTGCAGGAGCATTTAAGAGGACTGGGTATAAAAAGAGCTGCAGTGGCTGAATCCCACAGAAGTGAAGATAAGCAGGGGTTCACCAATCTGAGAAAAACTGGGTCTAAAATTGAATGAAAAAACAAAGTTCCTCTATGGAAATTTGGGAACACTTTGAATAGCCCATCATCTACATTTCAAAATGTCAACAAAATCCCCCCAAAAGTTAAGAATGTGGAGAAATATATGCTGAAAGTCAATATTGGATGCTCGTCATCTTCAGGCCCTCGGACAGCCGCACATTAAAAAGTAATCTGATTTTGTGCTGGAAACGCTTCCACAAACCAATTTCTGTAAATACAGTTCTCCGTGCCATCTACAAATGCTGGTTAAAGCTCTATCAAGCAAAGAAGACGCCATATGTGAACATCATAGAGAAACGGCCTTCTATCTGGACCAAAGCTCATTTAAAATGGACTGAGGCAAAGTGGGAAACTGCTCTGTGGTCAGAGAAATCAAACTGAAATTCATGTTGGAAACCATGAACACAATGTCCTCTGTACTAAAGAGGAGAGGGACCATCCAGCCTATTATCAGCACACAGTTCAAAAGTGAGCCTCGCAGGTGGTATGGGGGTGCATTAGTGCCTCTAGCTTTGGCAGCTTGCACATTTGGAAAGGCTGGAAAAATGCAGAAAAGTATGTACAAGGTTTAGAGCATCTGCTCCTATATAGATTATGTCTATCCAAGGATGCATATTTCAGTAAGACCATGTTAAACTGCAGCCATTATAACAGCACAGTCTGGGTCCAGACCTCAATAGAAACATTTGATGCATCATAAAATAAAAATTAAAAAAAATCTAGCAAAGACCCAGGATCGTTGAACAGCTAGAATCCCACGTCAGACAACAGGACTTCATTCACCTCCAAAGACTCCAGCAGCTGCTCTCCTTGGTTTGTAGTTTTACAGACTGTTAACAGAAGAGGGGAAGCTTCACAGAGAGAAACTCTTTTTTTTTTTTAAGGTTTTGCTGCAATCACAAAAGTTTTTTCCTATAAATGGTACAATTTCTTAGTGTATTTAAGTTTACTAGGTTCCATTGTGAATAATATGGGATTATGAGTTTTGCAGATAATTGCGTTCTGTTTTCGTTTACATTTTACACAACCTCCCAACTTTGTCATAATTGGGGTTGTAGTGGAGATAATATGACAAACTACACTTCCCAGACTGCATTGTTCAATCTTTCTTATGAGACTCTCTGAACACTTCCTCTTGAGTTAATGTTTGTGTAATCTTCCTCATCAATAAGACGTAGACGGTAACCAGGAGACAATGGGTGACAGTCTATAACAGCCGGAAAACGGGCACACACTTTTTTTGCATGTACGTATTTCAGTATTATTATTTTTATTTATTTCCAGAAGCTACAAAAGGTTGATTAAACCGGTCTGCCCCCACTGTTATTATTATTGTTATGTCCCCCGTTTATCCCCAACGGCAGTGATGGATGCACAGACACCAGGTTGAGAAGTCTCGTCACTACCGGCTCGTCGGCTCACTGCACCAGTCTGGCTGCTCAGGAGGATCCACAGTTCCCAGTGCTGCTCTGTTGGTCGTTAGTTTTACTCTGAGCTTTTGAAGATATCAGAAGGTGAACGTAAACTGGCCTTCAGACGAGTGCTGCATAATAAAGTGGTCAGACGGACGTTTTCCAGCTCTTTTACAGACATGCTGCTGCTTGTCAGAGCCGCTCTGACCCCTCTTTACCTCCCATTTACTTTTTCCCTCACTGACCCTGTGAATTTGTTGACTAACTGTCCTCTTCCTCTTTTACGTCATCTTCCTCAGCCTCCTGAAGTGCTTCTTCCTCTTCCACTTCCTCCTCTATTCCTTCCTGTTCCTCTTCCTTGTCTTTGTCCTCCGTTTCTGTCTCTTCTCCTTTTCCTTCTGTGTCTCCATCCTTTTCATCTATGTCTTCCTCTCTTTCAGACAAACTTTCTGTCTTTTCCTCTGCTTGTGCCTCAGCTTCCTCTTTTTCTTCATTCATTTCTTCTACATTTTCCTGTCTGTCTGGTTCCTCATTTTCTCCACCTTCTTCATCATTCTCCTCCTCCTTGTCTACCTCCTCCATCTCTTCTTCTTTTGTCTCCTCACCTTGTGCACCATTCATTTCATCTCTCTCCGTTTCTTCTTGCTTGTCTTCCTGCTCTTCTTCTCCCTCCTTTCTTCCTGTGTTTTCTTCCTCTTCTTCCCGAACCCCATTCTGCTCACTGTTGTGATTCTCCTCGTCGTCTTTCTCAGCTTCGGTGTGGTTCTGCTCCTCTCCCGTCGTGTTTGTCTGGCCTTCCTGCGTTCTTTCGTCACAGATGGCTTTCTGGCTGCTCCGTTCGCTCTTCAGACACAGGTGGTTGTGATTGTTGTGCTCCAGCTCCTCAAGTGTGAGTTCAAACTGGAAGCGGTCCTGCTGGAGGTGTCTGTCAGGAGGAGGTGAAGGCGACTGGGGCATAGTGTTCAGGTACCACTCCCTGTTCTCCTCCAAAGTGTCCAGGATCTCCTGGGCGTCTGGGTGCACCAGGTCGGCCCAAGTCTCCCACAGCGGGTGGACAATGTAGTCGATGAATCCAACCTGGAAAAGGAGAGATTTTATTTTTAATTGAGTGAACTATTCTTAACAGAATCCACAGACCTTGTCTTTGGAAGCTTTGCGCCGATGATGCTGGAAGTTACTGTAACCAAATTCACGCATTTATAAATATATATATTAAGGACGCACAATATTGGATTTTTGGCCAATATGCCAATATGTGAAAACTTATTTGGCCGATAACCAATACTAACACTGATAATTTTTTTCCCTAGACCTACAGACTACATAGCTTCCTCTGCTGTGGAATTAAAATACTACATTATTCTGTATGGCCACTTGTCAATTTGGCCTGCTACGAAATACAGATGCCATAAAGGGAGCTGAAAATGATGTAACACTTCAACTTGGATTATGTTTAATGTCAAATTTATTAATGACATTTACTCTCTAACACAATGACAACACTCGGAACAGTCATACAAAAACTGCCTTTTATACAGTGTATAAATATATATATATATATATATATATATATATATATAGAAAGAATGAGGTTAGGTGTTTTCTTTTGTTACTGAGTATCAAGATAGGTTCATATCATGTCTCAAGCATCAAATCCAGCAAATCCATCCATCTTACCAATCAGCCTAACATGCATGTTTTTGGACTGTGGGAGGAAACTGGAGTACCCGGAGAAAACCCACGCATGCACGGAGAGAACATGCAAACTCCACCCAGAAAGGCCCCTGGACCGGGGTTTGAACCAAGGACCTGCTCGCTGAGAGGCAGCAGCTCTACCAGTTGCGCCACCGTGCTGCCCATCCAGCAAATCATTTAGCTAATTATAGACTGGTGGAGGAAACTAAAGGAGAATAGGATTTGTTTGTTGTCCCTGTCCAAAAAAACTCATCAGTATCAACAATTTCCTGCGGGATCAATAAAGTTCTTATCTTATAACAAGATTTGATGTAAATTCTGAGAACCTACATTTGTGCATTTCTGTTTGAAACCCATTCAAATATTCAATTCAATTCAACCTTTATTTAGACAGATAAATCACACTGAGCCTCGAAGACTCATTTACAAGTGAGCTCAGTTTAGACAAAAAAGTAGTGAAACTGGAGACAAGTAGGAATTACTGATTGCACCTGGCATTAAAAGAATGGTTTAAAGTTTTTAAAGTAGGGTTTTATGGGAAGGTTATGGAAAGTTAATGTCTTACTTGTGTTAGAAAGCTCTTTGAACGACATCAGATTTTTTTTTTAACGTTTTTTTTTTTTTTAACAAATTGGCAAGCTTACGTCTCATCTGACTGGGCAAATTCAAAGTGTATTGCTTCTTCAAACTGTATGAAAATAACTAATGCAAAATTAAAAACCCTGTAAGAGTCTTGACATGAAGCACTGAAGTTTGGTTTTGATTAGAGCCATTTTAAGATGGCTACAACTCCCGCAGGTCTCGACCACAGTCACACTATCATTTAGCTTGTCAATTTGGTAAATTAACTATTTCTCCAAATAGGTTGTTCACAAACATTCTACAAAACTCCACTTTTAAAGATTAAACTATTGCTTTAGGATGTGTCTTGAGTGATGTGATCATAGATGGACAGCTCTAATGAATTCTAGGAATATGTTTAAAATGTTTTTACTGTAAATCCACCTGTCCACAGCACATTTGGAGGCAGTCTGGGACTCGTGTGGTCACAAAAAGTTTCAGCAGAAAAAAACGTGTCTGAACCCTGATGTAGAACAATCTAGTCAAGAACCATTTACATGATAAAATAAAATGGCTTCTTCAGCAAATATTAACTGTGCATGAATTTAAATATGTACGTGAGTGTTGTATAATTGTTGCCATCATTTTGGGGGATTTGTTTTTGGTCATGGAAGAGAAAAAGACTATAATGTTTTTGATTTCTTTTCCTTTTAAAACATTTTCTTAGACATAGTATTACTGTGCTCTGCTGTCACCTGCTGGTCAGTATTAGTTATGAGCTCTGAGGTGAAACGTGTTGCAACATGTTCCAACGATGGAGCTCAAAATTCAAATTGCCCCAAATCTTTACTTTACAAATTCACTTTTAGCAGAGAGTGAGATATTTTAGGTACTGGAATGAGAAACGGTAAGAGTGAGTTTAGAAAATATGCAGGATGTTTTTGAGTAAACTATAGGTAATTGTAAAAAGTTGGTCTTTGATCAGACTGCTCACAGTGAACAGAAAGTTTGCAGAGTTTGTTTTTGTATTTCATCCTGCATAGAAGCTTTTAAAGTTACTTTCTGTAAAGCTATACTCTCGGTCCTTTAGAGGTGGAGCTTTACCTGACTCTTCTCTACAGAGGCGGTGTGTTTGTCACACATGGCGCTGATCTCCATGCCCCTCTCTCGCTCTTTGTCACCCTGTCGGAAGAACTCCTCCATGATCCTCTCCGTCCACTGCCTGTATAACAGTAACGTCTTGGTGGGGTTGCTCAGGTCCGCACAGTGCACCATGTTCTTCAGTACCTGCCGGAAACCAAAGAAAAACGTATAGAAGAAAACCGTTCAATGAATTTATGTGAAACCCAAACATAGATTTAAGATGCAGATGAAAGTCAGAGAAACTTCAATGACCTGTATTCGTTCTGTATAGTGGTCCAGGAGCAAAACGCCTGAACTCGTCACCTTCTTGGTTTCCACCATGGTCTTTAAATCGGCCAACAGCGTCATGTGCTTGGACATGTCTGTAGCCAACACCTGCACACAGACAGAAATTGTAGTTTTAAACACTTGTTTTCTTTTTTATTTGTCTCTCACACAGGCTGCTCAAATAAATCTTATTCTCTATCATCATGTTATTGTGATACGTCACAAAAATATGAGTTATGTAAGAAATAAAGCTACAGTCAGCTGATCCTTTCTTCAGGAAACCCCAATTACTGCCTACTTAACATCAAAGTTCATGCTCAATAATCCAAGTAAAAAATCCAACAAAGTTAAGTCAGGTCCTCTGGACGGTTTCTTTTTGTTGAAACGTTTTGTCTTTTATCCAAAAGACTTCATCAGTTCGAAGCTGTTAAGTTGTAACCTACACTGACCAAGATCCATAGGAAAAACAAAATCATATTTCTGAGAGGAGAGACTTTTTTGCTTTAAATTTCCAATAGGGCCTTCATCAAAATGTATAGTAAAATTTAAAAAAAATGGTCACACCTGCAAACTTGTTGCTTTTCGGCTAAATTTGTAAGTCGCGTTAGTTAGCTCGCAACAAAGCTTGCGCTAGCTCGTAAGCACTAAGCTAGCACATTTACGTTGAACTAGCTTAGCGCTACATAAGTGCCGACAGTTGTCAACCGAAGGGGAGGTAGGCTGCATCATAGATATAAACACAGATATTTCAGTGTTTATATCTAGGGGCTGCATTACAGAAGCAGAGCACTACATCTGTAGCATCTTAGCTTGTGCGCTGCTAGCTTAGCTTACATTTGGTTTCTCTGGTTGGCTTAGCTGTTGTTGCTTGTTTATTTTTTTGGTTGACTAACAATCTTTCCTGTGTCTGTCCTACATTTTTTTTCTTCTTTCGGCTGCTCCCTTCTTCAGGGGTCACCACAGCGAACTGAGTCGCATGAAGACTTTGCAATTATTTTCACGCCGGATGCCCTTCCTGACACAACCACAGACCACCGAGCTACCACAGCTCTCTGTGTGGAGCAGAGAGCTGCTGTCTAGGGCGCCCGGGGGAGCAGATGGTGGAGGTTAAGGGCCTTGCTCAAGGGCCCAGAGTGGGGTAAATGAGGGTGGAGACAGATGTGGGTGCTTCACCAATCCCACCCATATTTTGATGTTGTCAGTACTGGGAGTTGAACCAGCGATCTTCCGATCATAGGCTCACCTTCTCTAACCTCTGCACTACCACTCCAAAGTGTGTGTCCTAAATAAATTAGGATGCTAGCAAGGCTTTTTTACGTGAAGCATGTTGTCGTTTCCCCTAATTTTCTTCTTGGAGTATACCAGAATGCACAGGAAACCCCTCACCCCCACCTTTTTCATCCCTTGTGAGTTTGCAGGTATGCTTAGTACAATAGACAGTATTTTACAAAATCTGATTAAAAAAAAAAGTGAACGTGCATTGTTTTAAACTGCTATTGACAATTATATTCTTTAAATATTTACTAATAGTAAAAAAGAAGGCAAAAACTTGCTGAAGTAAATCTGAATATATCTGAAGTTAAACAGGATTCCTGCAGCATATTTAAAGAGAGGAGTGTGAGACTCCAGCTGTGCTTCCAGTTCAACTGTTTGTGTGTTGAGGTGCGATCGTTGAGGCCCTGACCATATCGATGACGAGCTTGCGAAGGCTCTGGCGCTGCCGCTTGGTGAGGTTCTGGAAAATGTCACAGTTCTCCTGGTGCAGCAGCTTGAAGCCCACAGCCAGGTGATGGTTCTCCAGAACGGACTCATCGTTGTACATCAACGCTAGTTCTGAGTCTACAGGCACAAAGGAGGAGGTGGCGTGAACACGGTTTGTGTTGAAGCACCGACTGAAGATTGTGCTACTGAACGTGTGTGTGTGTGTGTGTGTGTGTGTGTGGACTCACTGGTGTTGATGAGGAACTGATTGGAAACTCCAGGATGGTCGACATCATGGATAGCTGCAGCGAACAGAGCAGCCAGGATCTCCAGATCAGTGAAGGCAGCCTGACACAACAGAGGGTGACTTACAGGAAGTTTTTATCCCAAAGAAAATCAGGAATTTGTGTTAAAGAACCGAGTTTATTATGACTAAATATTATGTTTTCATCTCTTCCACCCATTTTTTTCTTATTTATAATTATTTTTGTCTTGTTTCAAGTAAAAACAGATTTTCTGTTAATCTAATTTTTAACGTTTGCTTCCACGCAGACACCAAAAAGGCAAATTTTATGAGTGAAATCTGTGAAGATTAGTGTGATTACAAATACTACATGTACTGCAGGTCAGTTTTGTTTTAATTGATTAACACTTTTAAAATTATCTTTGTATAAACAGGGAATTCTGACAATCTGATCTTTTATTTTGCACCTTGCATCACTATTTTTAAACAATTTTTTTTTAAATCACAAATTCTTATGTTTATCTTATTAAAACCTGGAAATTATCTTAAGAATAAGAACTGTAAGTTAAAAGAAACAAAAATTAAGTGAATTATTTGTGAACAAATCTTATAAAATGGCTAATTTCCATTAATAGAATTTGCTTTAGTGTGAGCACATAATTGGTAAAGTCACTTAAATTAACAAAAGTAGATTATACTTACTTTACATTAAAAAAAAAAACCAAGAATAGACTGTACAATTCACGTGGCTTTATAGATGTTTTTATTTTTTTCTCCTGACGTGAGCAAAAATGCTTCGTCTTATGCATGTTTGTGTGTGTTTGTTCATGAACGTACATCCAGAGCAGGTGTGGAGAGGAGGACGTGTGTGGACTGGGTGACATCTGCAGCGTGGAGGCTGTTGTGGTACGCTACGTTTCCATGGTAATGGTCCTCCAGGGTCATCACGTACGTGACAAAAGTGTCAACGGGGATGCGAAATGTCTTCAAGAGCTCACGCTCCTGAGGAGGGACAAAGGGAGCAGGAACGTCACAAACAGGTACACACGAGCAAAGACAAGCACGTCAGAGGAAATCTGTGGGGATTTCTGTTTTTTTAATTTTTATTCTTTACCTGGAAGATGGTGTACATGATGCAGCTGAGGGGTCTGTTGTTGGAGAACTCTGCTACTCTGAATATGTTAAAGCTCCACTTATCTAGATCCTCCAGTTCCTGGTTAAACACACAGAAATATCAAATGTGAACACAGAAACCAAGTGATCGTAAAAGAAACAGCTATAAAAGCATTCAAGGTCTTTATGTCCAGATTCATTTTGAGGAATTATTCTGTAAGTTTAAGTCAGGGGTGTCCAAAAGTTTTCATGTGTGGGCCAAAGCTATCAAGATGAAAGGACTCGTGGGCCATAAAAATGTGAATTTAACTCTCATTGTGAACAATATTTTGGAGAAAGGACAAAAGTTTACACATTTTGGTGGAGAAATAATTTTAAATTGTCGTACATCTAAAACATTAAAAGCCTCATAAACATTTAGCTTATATTTTTATTTAAAAGGATTTAATTTATTTGATTTTGTTGAGTCTATGTTTGTTGTTTTCTTGTGTTTGGAAAGTTCATTTTAGTCTGTTCTCAGCAATAAAAGTGTAATATGAGAAAAGGCTGATCGAAGTTCTGAAAATGCGTCCAGCTGTCAGTCGCTACAACAGATTCATAGAAGGTTTGATAAAGTTTATCAACTCGTATGTAGACGATACCACGTTATATTCATTAAAAATTGTCTAATTTCCCTCTAATTTTATCAACTGTAATATTTAGACAAGTTTTATGAATCGTTAGCCAAAAGATAGAAATAAGTAAAAGTTTTTGGTGCTTTACACCATGAAAGGAAAATAAAAGAATTATATCCAACGGTTTGTATTTTGCTTAATATTCCTCATTTTGAGACAATTGTTTTTCATCTGTTTTGCTGTTAAACCTAAACATTATATAAAAAAGGATTACCAATAAATGTGCAGAAAGTCTGCATCGACTTGCTGGTCAAAATTATATAATTCTTAAACTGCATTTGTGGGCCGCACAAAATGACTCCAAGGGCCGCAAATGGCCCTCGGGCCGCACTTTGGACACCCTTGGTATAAGTAAGTGGTCAGTACGAAGTGGACAGGTCCATCATAGGACCACGTGGAGATGAACGAGGCAGACAACCATTCACACTCAACACTGACGCAATAATTTAGAGTTGCCAAATCACCCAACATGCTTTTGGTCTGTGGGAGAGACCAGCATACCTCAAAAAACATACATGCACAGGGAAGACATGTAAACGCCACACAGAAAGGCAGTAGAAAGTAAAGTAGGTTTTGAACCTGCAAACATCTTGCTGTGAGGCCACAGCCCTAACCACTGCACTGCAGATTGTCTTATTGAAACTTTATTGCCCATTTGATTTCTGCAGCAGATGATGGAGATGTGAACGTTCATCTTGCATGTGAACCGTTTGTTTACATTTTCATACAATATCTTAAGTCTAAGAAAACTCTTTGGTTGGCTTAAAAAAATTAAAGTCTACTATATCTTTATTTTGGCATCAAATACAGAGCCTATACTTTGACCAAGAAGCCAATAAACAAACACATCTGGGATTTCTACACCATCGCAGGTTTGAAAATATTCTTGTTTTTCACACTAAAAAAAGCGAGGACTTGATTTGCGCAACGTAGTTTTTGCGAGTGAGACCCAGACTGAAAAGAACACCTTGGCGAGTTCGTCCTCGTGGTCCGTGTTGACGCCAAAGCGAGGCATGGAAGCGCTGGATAGGCTGGAGCTGTGAGACAGTTTCCTCACTCCACTGATGTGACTCATAGATTTGTCCTTGAGCGTCGGAGACGGGATATCCACCTCGTGATGCTTGTCTACAGATTGACAAGAAAACCGAAGGATGCTTTTAATTTTATTCAGCAATCGTCATGATTATGATGCCAACGGATTTTGGTGGGACTCACCCATGAAGGTGCTTGAGATGTATTCGGACACTTGGTTCCCAGAGCGGCTCATCTCTGACAAATGTGAAAGTTCTCTGTTCAGCATCCTCTTAAACTGTGACAGAATGAGAAGTACGGTGTGAGAAAATCACACATTTCTTTCAGAAAGGGATTTTGCTCACATGACAGTATACGTATAGTTTTTATCGTTTATAGTTATTGCAACGAACAACAGGACAATTAAACACAGCCAAAAATCTTACCTTTAACTTTTAGTTTTGATTTTAACTATAGACTGCACAGCAACATGCAGGTGTGATAAACTGAGGGGGATTCTCTGGTTTTGAAACGTTTTTGTACCTTGTTGGAAGCCATTTCGCTGACGGAGCGGTGGGTCTGAATGGTCTCCAGCTGATCTAAACACCAGTCCAGCTCCTCCAGCGTGTCCAGGGCGAGCTGCTGGTACTGCTGGTCTGATAGTGTCGCTCTGGGACTGACGCACACTCCACCCAAAGGTGACCTCCTAACAACACAGCAGGTACTCAGATCAGTGAGAAGATGGCAGACTGGATTAAATTACAGACACATGCACAGTTATAAAATACTGTTATAGGATTATTTTTAGTTTTAACTTGTGATGAAAGCAATGGTGTAGTCTACATTTTAGTAGTGGTTATACTGTCCTTAGAAACCAAAGTACACCAGTTAGTACAATGTAATCGTCAATTTATTTTGATTTTTAAGCGTATTGAACTTTTCAAAATTTCTCTGATGATTATATTTCCATAAATATACAACAAACTTTGTACAACAGATGGCTTAAAGAACATAGAATTTATAAAACAGTATCAAAGCAAACATTTTCAAGTATTAAGTATAGAAGTATTAATTATACAAAAACATCCTGATGCATTCTCAATAATCCAGGTAGAAAAATCTAAAAATGTTAAGTCAGAACCTCTGGATGGGTTAAAAAAAAAAATTTTAAATTGTAAATGTTTCATCTTTCATCCAAAAGACTTCTTCGGTCTGAGGAGCTGTATTAAGCTCAGTCTTACAACGCCTTCTCATAGTGACTCAACCAGTTTCAGTGTTGCCAGGTGTACAATAATTATCGTATTTATATGACAATTTTGCCCTCTGTACAATGTATGATCAATAATCCCAAAAAAGGCCAAACATATACCATACCACTTTATTTATAAAGCACTTAAAACAGCAACAAGGCCAACCAAAGTGCTGTAAAGACAAAACAACAGCTAACACACAAAGCAAAATACAAAATGAGGTAAATCAGAATATGATAATTTGACCATTCCGTGAATGTGTGGTTATAATCGGTTGTCATCAGCCTCTTGCAACTGTCTGTTGGAATTTTTTTGTGAACCCTGAAGGCATCTGTGTCTGCAAACAGATGCACCTAAATGCATCTAAATGTTACCTACGAGTGACGTGTTTGCGTTTGCCTCAGAACAACGGCCATGATTGGCTGAATAGTCCGCTGCGGCCGCCCCATGAGTGAGGAAAAGAAAAAAGAAAAGAAGAAGAAGCAGAGCCGGTCTGGAAGCGAACCCATCACTACTATAGTGCATAAATAGATTTGTTATTTTGGTTATGACGGGTGTACGATTATTTCCCTCAAAATATGATAATTTTATGTCTCTAGTACGATAATCCTACATTTCTCACCTGGCAACACTGACCAGTTTGTTGTTGACATCCAGAACTAGCTGTTCACATGATCAAGGAGGAGCTGATGGTCCTCCTTGATCATGTGATCTACTATGAGAAGGTGTTATTTATAAGACTGAGCTTAATACAGCTCCTCAGACTGAAAAAGTCTTTCGGATGAAAGACAAAACATTTCTACAATCTTTTTTCATTTTTGAACCCATCCAGCGGACCTGCCTTAACTTTTTTAGATAGACAAAAAACAGGTTGAACTAACTCAGTGTCTATAAAATGTTCCAAATGTGTTTGTTCTTGACTGGAGACTAGTGCCCATGTTGACACCATTTTTTTTCTCAAGGTTCAATGAGATCATCATGATCAGTAAAAGGTCTATTCATCTTTTTAATATAGTATGCTGTTCTAAATACAGCATCTGTCTCAGCCAGCACATTGTCTGATAGAGAAGCAGCGGCTCGACTCCAAGTCTCTCCCGGATGATCGAGCTTCTCACCCTATCTCTAAGGGAGAGCCCAGACACTCTGCGTAGAAAACTCATTTCAGCTGCTTGTGTCCGAGATCTCGTTCTTTCAGTCACAGCCCAAAGCTCATGACCATAGATGAGAGTAGGAACGTAGATCGACCAGTAAATTGAGAGCTTCGCCTTTTGACTCGGCTCTCTCTTCACCACAGCAGACCGGTACAGCGCCCGCTTCACTGCAGACGCCGCACCTATCCGCCTATCGATCTCACGCTCCATTTTTCCCTCATTCGTGACCAAGACCCCGAGATACTTGAACTCCTCCACTTGGGGCAGGACCTCCTCCCCGACCCAAAGAGGGCACTCTACACTTTTCTTGTACAGCTTGAGCAACAATAATAATAATAATAATAATAATAATTTGAGACCTGCATGTTCATTGTTTTGTGTAAGTGAGAACAATTTGTTGGTACTGACTTGATTGTTGGCGTGGAGACGTTGGCGAGGATGCTGAAGTTGCTTCGTACTGATCGCAGACTGGCCAGTACCTAAACCAACAGACAGCATGTGAGTGTATACATACAGAGCCTCAGACAAACATCCACATCTACAGATGACTTAAATCAGTTGCATTACATCTACTATTGATATTAATGTAAAGATGGCAAAGAATACTTTTGAATCAGTTATGTATGCAGCAATTTCTATGGCCATTTATTAAGATGAACACATCTGTTTAGTCATACATACTTGAGCAAAGGGTGTGACAATAAAGTCCTCTGCTGTGTACCTACAAGAAGGGGAGAGAGTTTGAAAACAGGCAATGAGAACAATGGATAAATGTATTAATTGGGACATTCATTACAAATGGTGTCCATCTTGCTGTGACAAGAGAAATCCATTTTGGCTTACCCTTCACTGGCAAGGGTAGAGTTTCTGGAGACCGTCTTTGGCGACATGTCGTAGTCTGAGTCAGAGCGGTACAAGAAGGACTCTCTTCTCTGGCCCTGAGGGAAGGAGGTGTTCAAAGTGAGGCTTGGACTCTGGGAACCCAGAGGGGTACGACCTGGGGACACGCCATTTTCTGCCTCGTAACTGTAACAAAATGTAAATAATGAGAAAGGACAGAAGATGTTCAGCTTTGGGCAACATGAGTGGTTTGATGCAAGGTGAGAACCTGTCGGCGTCTGCTTGTGTAATGGAGATGCGTGGAGGGATGCGTAGAGGAAGAGTCGTGGGACGGGACGTATTGCTCAGGATGTCAGGTGAACGAGTGCGATCTCGGGGGCGGAGCCAGCAAGGTACCTGAAGAGGCAAAAAGCAGGCGTTGTATATAAATTAGATTACTGGTTTTAAAACCACCTGAGGGCTTCAAAGAGCCAAAGTTCCCTGAAATCTGGGGAATATTGTGTTAGAAACCTGAGCAGTAATTCAAACTCTTGTCCACTGGTTTAAATTCAGGTCTCTCTTGTAAATGAGTCCCTGAGGCTCAATGGGACTAATCTGTATAAATAAAAGTTGAATGGAAAAAAAAAATTGATAGTTCAGAAATGGGGTTCTGTGAGAAAATGGTGAACAAATGATGTCTTATTGTTGTAGATAGCTTCTTTAACCACATTAGTTTGGAGGTGTTAAATTTTTACCAGATTGACGATCTAACAATAGTCTGTCCGGGGCCAAGATCTGAATGGATTACAGCCATCTTAAAATGGCTCTAGTCAGGTATAAAGTCTGACCTGAATGACAAGTTAACGGCTAGTCTGAGCGAGGACAAGAACAAAGTGCATTGCTGCCTTTTTAACGCAGCTCCAATGTAAAAGTAACATAATGGTTCATGCAAAAACTCTTGAAACGTCACCGCGTTGGTGGTTTTGCCTTGTGCAGTTATTTGCATAGAACTCTTTGGGTGTTTTGCAGGTTGAAATTGTTGTGGCAGCAGTTAGCTTTAGCACTTCTGGTGCAGCCTGGGGCACTTCTAGCAAGAAAAAAATTAATTTCTGCCTGAAAAATTATGTAAAGTGAAACCCACAGTGGTAAAAGGTTCTTCTGGACCACTGTGCATTTTTTAATGATGGACATTGGTTCTGTTAGCTCGTCTGGCTGGTCAGAAATAAACTATTTTCAACAGAACCCCATTTTCAAATGACCTATTTTATCATCAAACCAGTCCAATATAATCATATGTAGTAATGAAATATCAAATTTAAGTTTCTACAAACTGGCGACATTGGTATTTTAGTAGCTTTATAGGTTCATGTTTTTGTGTCAGAGCCTGACCGATATAGAAATCTTGGCTATCGGCAATATTGATATTGGGAAGGGAGGCGCCCGTCGATAACCAATATAATGGCTGAAAATGTTCAGCAAGCGGAGCGGGCTTGTTTATTTAGCTCAGCTGTTAGCAACCATGAAGCTAAGCAAATCAGATCCACGCTATAGACCCACAGTAGGTTTACAAGTTGTGCACTGGTCATAAAAACAGTCTTCCTAACGTGCGTTCACAATTTCTATCCTTCACTATTCACAATAAAGTTATCAAGTGTGTTACAAAAATATAAATTAAACAAATACTATATTTATAAAAACCCTTTAAAAACAACCACAGCTGCAACAAAGTGCTGTGCATAGAAAATCAAGGACATTTAAACACATGAAAGAATAAAAGAGTTAAAACAGTAAAACACTAAAAACAATAAAAACTGTAGTGCAGAGCAATTTCAGGCTGTCAAAAGCCAGGGAGCAAAAAATGTGTTTTAAAAAGAGTTTTAACAATGGACAGTGAAGGATGGGAAGAGAGAGATCATTCCATAGTCTTGTAGTGGCTACAGAAAAAGCTTTGTTGCCTCTGAGCCTCCGTTTGGACCTCAGCATCTCAAGGAGCAGCTGACCAGAGGAACCGAGCAGGCAGGTATGGGTGAAGCAGCTCAGTGAGGCAAGATGGGGCAAGACCATGTAAACTTTTAAAAACAATTAATAGAATCATAAATTGAACTTTAAAATGAAAAAAAAAAAAACAGAGAAACACCCTTCCCTGTTCATCGTTTAAACTGTCCCTATGGTGAAGGTCTAATTAGTACTGACTGCAGCTACATTTTTTTTTTCTTTTCTTTGCAGATAATACCCGTTTCAGACAAACAATGCATTTCATTGACGACGACAAAGATAACGTCACTAACACTGATGTATATTTACCACTACGTTAGATTTATTCTTCTGGTTAAAGTTTTATAAGGCAATAGCTTATGCTAGGTTATCTAAACATTAGCTTGCTCACTTGAGAGGCATGTAGCAAGTGAGTTGGAGAATTGAAGATAATTTATTATTGTTGAGTTTAAAATTTTTACAGATCACTTAAAATAAACGTACCATGCTCGGTTCAGCAAACTACGCTACTTAATTGCTCCCTGCTTCGTCTGTGCTGAAAATGAAACTTAAGTGAATGGCCATGACTTGAAAGTAGTCTTCATGTGCTCTCTGCTGGAAACATTGTACAATTACGACTGGTTCCAGCATTTTGAGGGTGAAAAGTAGAAGTGTTTACATCTGCACATAATGGGACACGTCACCGATACCGATAGGTCCCCAAATGGCTATATCGGCCTAAGATGTCATTCATACTGATATATCGGCTGAGCTCTAGTTTGGGTTGCCAACAATAGTGGAGAATACAACCCAAAAAGTCATATTTTTTTTCAATTATTCACTTCAATAAAGAAAAAATATATAATTAATGCTTTTTGAGTCACATTTCCATCGGTTTTTCCCTCCGTGTGTTTTGAAAAATTGCATTGAAAAGAATATTTTGAAGAACTCAGTTGGGTTATAAACTATATTAGAGACATACTCTCACTTAAGTCCTTTTAGCCTATGTGGATAATTCAAATACAAGAAAAATTAAATCACATTTTCTTATTCTTGTTTTTCTTGTTTAATTCACTGTAAAAATAAACTAATGGTGGAAAGACTAACAAAGTATCAACTGTGTTATACTGATAAACCGTTATAATAAAAACACTTTACTGCCATTGAGGAAAACAAATAAATGTTCGATAGGAAAGTAAAGGTGCATGTAGTAGTAGTAGTAGTAGTATTAGTGGTTTGAACTTTATACTGCAGTATTGTACTAATCTGCTGTGTGTTGCAGTTTCAGTGCATGTGAACTTTGTAGAGCCTGCTGATTGAACTAACTGTCAGCCAATGAGGTCCACAGGAGAAAATAAAAACTTTTCTTCTCTTTTTCCTCCAACAAATAACAGATTTTTTTATTTTTTTTCGCCTGCTCCCTTTCTCAGGGATCACCAGAGTGAGGGAACAGGGCTGGGCGATGTATCGAATATACTTGATGTATCATGAGTTTTTCAATTTACGTTGGTTAAATTGGCTCTATTGCAACCATCGAGGACACAATAAACTGTCAATCAATTATTAAACTTTCTGCATCTAATTCACTGTGTTGTTTATCCGACACGCTACGAATGCATCACTAATCCCTGCTCCCTCCCAACTTGAACATTGTCTGCCAGACACGCTGTGCAGAGATTGCGCATGTAGACTTTGAGATAGGAAAGAATATGGCGACAACGGGGGTTTCAGGTGAGCAATGAGATGGTAACTGAAAAGGAGTCCGTGAACTAGTTCCGAAGAGAAACAGCACTGGATTAATAATCTGGCAGTGGTTTGGATATTAAAAGGAGGATGTCGAACAAAATGCAGTAATTTATAACGTGTTATGTATTGTCATCATTGTATGTTTTCATACAATGGTGAAATTGGCTCTCTGCATTTAACCCATCTACCACCAGATGGAGCAGTGGGCAGCTATTGAATGCACCCGGGGAGCAACTGGGAATGAGGTGTCCTGCTCAGAGACACCACAAAATGTGAAATGACTGGGGATCGAACCCAGGACCTTTTTGCAAAACGTGTCATAAAACCATTGCCACAAAAGGTAGTAGTACCACAAATTTATTTCAAGACCTAAGAAGTTACTGCAAAATGAAGAATGTTGTCAACTCCGTATGTCAACGTCTCCTCACGCAACCACAGTACAAAACTCGTTTAGCCATGCTGTGCCTTATGAGAGGAACAGTGAGAGAGAGCGCGACATTAATGAAGCAGCAGCTTATCGTATCGCTAAAGACGGTGGCTCAACTGTGGAACAAGACGACTAAAGTTAGCCATCTTTTTAGCTGCTAAGGACCATGTCTTTAGTGATATGATAAGCCATTGCTTTATTAATATCACACACTTGAAAATCCATGTAGTTCTCCTTTTTCTGCCCGTCTGCACCGCCAACTTCACACGACTCCTCCATCACTGAATACAAACAGACCCTCACGTACTGCTTCACTCACGCTTACTAACGTCGTGAAGGCGACACAGTTGAAGAGGATTATTATTTAATATACAAAGTATGTAAATAGATAATTCTTAGACATTTATTTTGTAGTTACAGCTGTTTGTTAAAAAATGTGCCTGTGTGACAATTGGGACAAAGCTTTGACTCAAATATAATTTTATTACTTTATGGAAAGAAAAAAATGTTGATATATATATATCATATATCGCCATTTCTCTTAAAGTATTGAGATATTAATACTGGTCCATATCACCCAGCCCTATGAGGGAACTCATTTATTATTTTTTTTATGATAATAAAAACAAACAGACCAGAAGAGCAGTCTACACAGATTGTTATATTGGCAAAGTTTTTATTATAAATGACACTGAAGTGTGTTTGGTAAGCTGATCATTACAGTTTGGCGTCATGCTTTAGTGAGTCACCTTCAAATCCATACAAGCAAGAGCTGACCTAATGGATGATGTAATAACCTTTTCTGGTAACATCATTCTGATTGTGATTGCCTTTATTTTCCATCAGTTAGGAAGGTATTTAAACTGAGTGAGATGAGCCAAAATGTGAGAGTTTGTTCCTGTTTTTGACATGCAAAGCAAACTCTCAGGGATTGTCAAGATGTGCAGCAAAACTACAGAACCTTCCTGACCTCCACAAGGCAAGGTCAGTGAATAAGACCAGGCTGATTCTGGCAGATCCTGATCATCCACTCCATGGTGAGTTCAGGCTGATTCTGGCAGATCCTGATCATCCACTCCATGGTGAGTTCAGGCTGATTCTGGCAGATCCTGATCATCACTCCATGGTGAGTTCAGTTTGCGTCCTTCTGGACACAAACATCTGCAGCCCAGATGTAGGACAAACAGACTGAAAAACTCATTCATCCCTGTGGCAATCAGGCTTCTCAATGAACATTGATGATTTAATGTATTGTTATTTTAATGTCTTGGTGTCTAGTATGGAAGTTTTGTGTTACTGACTGTGAAACAAATTGCGCCTTGGGGATAATATAGATTCTTGAACTTGAAAATATCAGGCAATCATAATAAGAAAAGCACAAAGTTCATATGAACCAATGATGCTTCAATATTTCATTTCCTTTAGCATAAGATCCATCAGGTCATCATATTAATCAGCACAGGGTTTTATTCAATTTTACAATTTAGGATTGATGTAAAAAATAATGACAGGAGGATGAGTGTGAGAAACTATCTTAATGTTACAATCTGATTGCACAAGATGATTTATTTAATGCACTTTCTTGTTCCAGTTTTAAAGCAGCTGTTTTATCTCAACAGACCTACAACACAGCTCAGAGTAGATGCAGTCAGATTTTATAGAGGTTGTTTTCTTCCTGAGCCCTAATAATGACTTCGTCCTCTCTTTATGTAACCACATGTTTGAGGTCAAAAAGAACAAAATATAATTATAATTTTATAACGGAGAAAACAAAAAGCCTGTAAGTTATAATCTGCTTGTGCTCAGTTGACTGTTTTATACGTTTCAAGTTGGCGAAGAAGAAACTTTTATTTTATTTTTTCAGAATATTGCTTCTGACTACAAAATGTAATATATTAGAAAAATCTGAAAAGCCAGAATATGTATGCAGATTTTGTATGAAACATTTCTTCTTGACTGGACACCAAATAACTTAATTATTTGTAATATTTGACCTGTGCTGACAAAATGAGTCAGAGTGGGGATTTTTTTTATTGTTGAGTTATTATTTTTAAATTCTCCATCTCAAAAGCTTCAAAACGAAACGCAGTTTGTTGAAATTCTGCAATTTTTCATCAGGCTAGCAACAAGTTAGTTGTGTTTCCAAAAGTGCATTTTAAAAGCTTCTTTTTTTCCATCCCTAAATAAAAAAAAATCCCCAAGCTTCACAATGATGCCAAAGGTTATACGAAGGGATTTGACAGGTTGCCAGCAGAGGAAAACAGTCATTTTCAAAGGAACTTTTAATGGTTATGAAACAGAATTATTTATGAAGACATATCTGATAGAAACTTTGACTCAAAAGGTACTTATTCTACTCAACCTGTTGTGTATTTATAATTTTTTCAATCTTAACTTGTGTTTTTTGTCTTTTTTTCCCAATAGGAGGTACACCTGCACCTACATCTAGACCTGCCATTCTGTCTTCGTTTGTCTCTCCTTCCTGTCCTCTCAAACCCAGCTGGTTGAAACAGATGGCCGCTTGTCCTGAGCCTGGTTCTGCTGGAGGTTACTTCCTGTTAAAAGGGAGTTTTTCCTTTCCAATGTTGCCTTTGTGCTTGCTCAGGATGGGAGACTACGATGAAGTGAAGATTCAAGGCGTATGCTTCCTTCCTTAGATGGCTCATTTTTACTAATTGGCTTTTGTATGTACAGAGCCTTGCAAAAGTATTCGGCCCCCTTGAACTTTTCAACTTCTTGCGACATTTCAGGCTTCAAACATCCATCCATCCATCCATCCATCCATTTTCTTCCGCTTATCCGGGGTCGGGTCGCGGGGGTAGCAGCCTAAGTAGGGAGGCCCAGACTTCCCTCTCCCCAGCCACTTGGGCCAGCTCTTCCAGGGGAATCCCGAGGCGTTCCCAGGCCAGCCGAGAAACATAGTCCCTCCAGCGGCTTCAAACATAAAGATATAAAATTTTTATTTTTTGTGAAGAATCAACAACAAGTGGGTCACAATCGTGAAGTGGAATGACATTTATTGGATGTGTCAAACTTTTTTAACAAATAAAAAACTGAAAAGTGGGGCGTGCACTATTATTCGACCCCTTTACTTTCAGTGCAGCAAACTCACTCCAGAAGTTCAGTGAGGATCTATGAATGATCCAATGTTGTCCCAAATGACTGATGATAAATAGAATCCACCTGTGTGTAATCAAGTCTCCGTATAAGTGCACCTGCTCTGTGATAGTCTCAGAGTTCTGTTCAAAGCGCAGAGAGCATCATGAAGACCAAGGAACACACCAGGCAGGTCTGAGATACTGTTGTGGAGAAGTTTAAAGCCGGATTTGGATTCAAAAAGATTTCCCAAGCTTTAAACATCCCAAGGAGCACTGTGCAAGCAATCATATTGAAATGGAAGGAGAATCAGATCACTGCAAATCTACCAAGACCCGGCCGTCCCTCTAAACTTTCATCTGGAACAAGGAGAAGACTGATCAGAGATGCAGCCAAGAGGCCCATGATCACTCTGGATGAACTGCAGAGATCTACAGCTGAGGTGGGAGAGTCTGTCCATAGGACAACAATCAGTCATACGCTGCACAAATCTGGCCTTTATGGAAGAGTGGCAAGAAGAAAGACATTTCTCAAAGATATCCATAAAATGTGTTGTTTAAAGTTTGTCACAAGCACCTGGGAGACACCAAACATGTGGAAGAAGGTGCTCTGGTCACATGAAACAAAAATCAAACTGTTTGGCCACAATTCAAAACGATATGTTTGATGTAAAAGCAACACAGCTCATCACCCTGAACACACCATCCCCACTGTCAAACATGGTGGTGGCAGCATCATGGTTTGGGCCTGCTTTTCATCAGCAGGGACAGGGAAGATGGTCAGAATTGATGGGAAGATGGATGGGGCCAAATACAGGACCATTCTGGAAGAAAACCTGTTTGAGTCTGCAAGAGACCTGAGACTGGGACGGAGATTTATCTTCCAACAAGACAATGATCAAAACATAAAGCCAAATCTACAATGGAATGGTTCACAAATAAACGTATCCAGGTGTTGGAATGGCCAAGTCAAAGTCCAGACCTGAATCCAGTCGAGAATCTGTGGAAAGAGCTGAAGACTGCTGTTCACAAACGCTCTCCATCCAACCTCACTGAGCTCGAGCTGTTTTGCAACGAAGAATGGGCAAGAACTTCAGTGTCTCCATGTGCAAAACTGATAGAGACATACCCCAAGAGACTTGCAGCTGGAACTGCAGCAAAAGGCGGCACTACAAAGTATTAACGCAAGGGGGCCGAATAATATTGCACGCCCCACTTTTCAGTTTTTTACTTGTTAAAAAAGTTTGACACATCCAATAAATTTCATTCCACTTCACGATTGTGTCCCACTTGTTGTTGATTTTTCACAAAAAATTAAAATTTTATATCTTTATGTTTGAAGCCTGAAATGTGGCAAAAGGTTGAAAAGTTCAAGGGGGCCGAATACTTTCACAAGGCACTGTACTGTATGTGAATGTTTCTGTTCAGTGCCCTGAGACAACTTCTGTTGTGATTTGGTGTTACATAAATAAACTGAACTGAAATTGAATGGTGGCTTGTCAATGGTGAGTACATGCTTCCTTTTATGGCCAACAACCTCTAAGCAAGTTCATTTGTCCGTGGTGACTTTGAATACCTGGAGACTTGGTGAGAGTCTTCTGGTCCTCCCTCTGCGCAGCTCGGCCCCCAGCGTGGCCCCGGACGTGTAGGATCGGCTGCAGCGAGATGGCTCCGCCTTCTCCCCAGCATCTGTTACCTCCAAGTCATTCCCCTGTGAGATGGGAGGGAAACAAAAAAGAACGGAGAGCAGAACAGATCATAATGAACCATGTGCTCTTTGTGTTTTACAGTTTAAATAGGCAGCTTCAGATAAAAGAAAGAAACTAGTTCATCTTAGTTGATGTTTTGTTACAAATGTGAGTGACTTCTTAAAAGTGAGGAAACCTCTACAGGAACCCATATTCTAAATGATTAATGTATGTGTGACTCTACAGGGCTGCGTGCGTGTGTGTGTGTGTGTGTGAGAGACAGAGCTTCGAGAGGCTGATCTGCACTGCAGCACCGTAGCAACAAAACACTGGGGGGAACGGTAGCAGTTGCTAGGCAACAGTGCCGTGTTGCTTCCATGCTGCGTTTGATGTCGTCCAGACCCAGATGTGGACAGATACTCACAACCGCACGTACGTACAGAAACATATGGGCACCTGCTCAGCATAATCAATGCCAGAGTGCCTGAATAATGCACGATGTCATGTCCTTCAGCACAAGCATCACCTCTAACAGAAAACGTCCCATTTATATTCAGCGCTCATTCAGCAGCAGGCCGTTTCCACTGAGGACTGTGACAGAGCAGTGCACGCTGTGTGATTGTACGCTGGAGGATACTAGCTGTCCACTGGGACGTCTGAGCGTGCGCACAGATCCTGATGGCAGGAACAAAGGCAGCTCGATGTGTGAAAGTCACACGGTTTGTTTGTCAAACACACACGCACACAGTCCAATCTGTCACGTCCGCATCTCATCTCTCACGCCGTGTCTGTTCAGAAGGCAACAGGCTTTTTTATTTTATCTACTTATTATTGTGCATTACTCTGCTTGTTTACGTTCTTCATCTCACCTCTTCTCCAGTCACCGACAGCACGCTGCGGCTCTTCTTCATTCTGATTGGCTCGTTCTGGGCCCCAGGGCGGAGCGTTCCGGAACCCAGGCAGCAGAGCAGGTGGAGAGCCAGGACCGGAGAGGTCAAAGGTCACTGTGAAGGTCAAACTGGGGTCAGACCGGGTCAAAACCGGCCCCCATTGGTGCTGACTCAGCCAGCCAACAGCGTCGCCTTCGTCCACGCCTCGCTCTTCAGGACGAAGCCAGGCGTCCTTCTGCTGTTAAACAGTGAAGGCGCATTTATTCCCCTCAGAGACTCCCGAGTCAGACTGGTACACCCAATATCTTTATTTTAAAAAAAATATTCCCTAAGGCCAAAGGTAAAAAAGAAAAAGAAAATACAAAAACACCATCATCCTGAGTCGTTGTCCTTTGGTTACATGGAGCTCTGCAGTATCCCATTCACAGCTGACGATGACGAAAAAGGAAATATTTCCCCAAATTCTTTCGAATATCCGTCCATCTTTTCAAGACGTTTGTATGTGTCCAAGTCATGAACAAATGCCGCCAATAAATCCCACCAATTCAGAATCCAAAATTTGCATCAGGTGTTGCGTCTCTTCAGGAAGGTTTTCCACAACGGGACTGATCACTGGGATCCAATCTCTGCTCGGAAGCTCCGGCTGGATATTGCTGCTTCATCTGGGAAGTCCAAAGGTCCAAACTCCTGGTTTGGTTTGCTGGTATTCGTCCTTGAAAATGACAAAGAGAGAAAGAAATTATAATAAACACATTACTTTATCTTTGACTCCTCTTTTTTATTTTTACGACTTATGGCCCTGCTTTCAGTCAGGGAGTTAATCATACAAAGCAAGAAGCCTCGTTTTGTCACATACTGGGAACACAACAATCCAAACTCAACTGTTGTCCTTTTTACACTACAAATTTGAAGCATACTTCCTAACGAAAAGGGAATTTCTGGCTTAAAATCCCACAGGCTGCTCAGACAAGTAATCTAGAATAGTAGATTAAACAAAATGCTTTGGTCTTGCAACAGCTTTACATACATCATGGCTAATTCTGAGCAGATACTGCAACACCCCAGCTCTGTGATGTTATATAATTACTCTGAGCAATCCGAGTTGACCCAGTTCCATCGGATTGGGCAGATTCAGCATATCGGAGTATTTCAGATTGAACTGCTACGGATAGCGATTGAAAATGACTTTTACCGGGGTCACGGGGAACACACCCTCGCAACAAAACAAGGTCTTTCACGGCGGAGTCGGCACGGAGCGATAACAGGTCTGTGAGGGGAAATCAACAAATGCAGAGTGACACAGTGACATATATACAGACTTCAACAAGCAAATTGAGCACATATGCACACACCATGGATGCCACCAGTACCACCTCCACAGATGAAGCAGCTTAGAAAACCAGTGCATCGACGTGCATCCCAACCAGCAACCTGCTACAAACACCCAAATGTTCATCAGTGCACACAGAGACTGCCCTGTCATGTCTGTCTGCACACTGCAAGGGCCAGAGGTGTGTGTCAGACGACCACACGTGCACGCACGCATCCACACGCACGCTCGCTGCAGGATGCAAGAATAAAAACACGCTCACCTTGATCGCCTGAAGATCAATGGCAGGATGGGCTGGGCTCCGTCGTGCGTTCACTCTGCCTCCTCCTGTCTCCGCCGCTCTGCCTGCCTGTCTGAAGACATTGCAGTGCATCGCCACAGCGAGAGAGGAGGAGGAAAAACCTCGGCGTTCTAATGAATATCACCAGCTTTCGTCCCTCTCCCCCTGCCACAGTGGTCTCCCCCAGTTACCCCCCTCCCCCTGCCTCCATCACCACAACCTCCATGGAGAAGCCCATCATCACTCCCTCCCTCACAGTATTGTCCATTAATCCCGTACAACAGTCTCTGCTCCTCCTCTTTCCATCGTTACCCCTGCTGTTGCTCTTTTTTTTAAATATGGCAGTCTGTTTTTTTTTCTTTTATTATCAACTGTACGCTCACCGTTTCAATAGTCAGACCTCTCTCTCTCTCTCTCTCTCTCTCTCTCTCTCTCTCTCTCTCTCTCACACACACACACACACATAAAGAGCAGATTTTTACTGATACACACCACTCATATTTAAAAAAATCCCAAAAAGCCTTCATGTCTCCTGGTAGTTTCTCACTCTATTCTGACATGTTCCTCTTCGTTATGTCCTTTAAAAAGCCATTCAAGGGTGTTCGGTATACTTTTGCACAATTAAACCACCTACTAACATGAATCACGCTGTTCATTTCTTTTATTTAACTTTTTTTTTTTTATATACAGATATGGACAAAAAGGCATTCATGAACAGGAACACAAAAAGCCAAAGAGTTGTTTTTGTAAGGTTTTGTTTTGATGCTCTTCATGACCGAGTTCTATTTTTCAAGCTGTTTATGTTTGCAGGAGTAGCTCAGAGCGTTTCATGTTCCGTGGAAAATGAGCAATTAATATCTTACCTGTTGTAGATGCTTTGGAGAAACAGTTTATTCTGATCGTAGCAGCAAACTAATGGCTAGTCGCCGTCTTAAAACAACTTTAATTTTAAAAGTTGTATAATGGTTTGTAAGAACACACGGTTTTATAAGCTTTTATAACTATTTGTTTCACTTTTTTTTTTTTTTTTAGATTTTTTTGTAAACAAAACTAGCTACAGCAGCATGCAACTGTAGCACTTTTGCTGCAGCTTGGGTCATTTTACACAGGAATATAAATTATTTTGGAATAACTAGGAAATGTGAAACAAAAAGTGGTTCAACATCTATAAGTGTTCCCATAAATTATTGTTTATTATTATGCTTATTTTTTTTAATGATCATAGTTTGAAAGACCAATTTACTTCAGTCTTGGCCACACTGATAGTGGTTAGTTCATCAATCCAGTCAGAAATTAATTTTATTTCTTCAAACTGAGGTCTTTTAAAAAAGTTATCCACAACAGGTAAGATATTGTTTGTAACCTTTCCAGAGAACAGAGTTCATGCTCAATAATTCAGGTAAAAAAAATCCAACAAAGTTCAGTCAGGTCATCTGGATGGTTTTTTTTTTGTGTTGAGACATTTCATACTTCATCCAAAAGACTTCATCAGTCCACACTCACATGGTGGACAACACTATGCGAGTGTGCTGCTTGTGGGACTGAGTTTGTTGTGGCTCCCCAGACTGATGAAGTCCTTTGGATGAAGGACGAAGCGTCTCAACAACAACAAAAAATAAACATCCAGAGGACCTGACTGAACTTTGTAGGATTCCCACAGATCCCTGCGTTAGAAGAGGCTTTAATGCCGTGTTCTTTCAGTGCAGATAATTTATCAATGACATTCAGCTTGGGGCTTTTTCAGTTTTATGTAACAGCATAAGGAAAAGCTGTGGGGCAGTTGTGTCACTCTCCCTTCAGCTCTTTTAGAAATTATCTAAATTTGATTCATGTCGCTGACCTGTACCGATGTCTCCTATTTACAAAAGTGAATGCACAAAGAAGCTTTGGATAAAAAATAAAAATCCCTGCACCAGCCCCTAAATCAAAACCACCAAATAATAATGAAGGGTGAAAGAGAGAGGAGGCAAACCAGCGATTTATTATGCTAGTGTAAATTAAAAACCAAACGAGTCAGGATTTAAATGAACTCAAGGAAATGTTAGCAGTGTTTGTGAAGAAAATAAAGCTTTGTATCCCACAAATAAAAGTTTGCTCTCGAAGTACAAATACATAAAAAATGTAAATCATGTAAATATTTCATAGTCACAAATGTATTATACAAATGTCAAATATTAGAAGCAAATATAAAGTAACAAATCAAGGATTTTAAAAAACCAGGTTGGCTTCGAGGTGGTCTTTATATTAGATCAGTAATAAGGAAATCCATACAAAGATCAGCAATTATCTAAGTGATAGTATTAAATACTACCATTGATATGATATAGCCATTTTTCATACCTTCCAAATACTAAAATACAAATCTTGCTTCTGTTTTGCCAAATTTTATGAGTTTACAAAAGTTCAGGCTGAAAATGTGCAACTATCTTGATGAACAGGACGCGGTTTTACACATTTCTGAATGAAATATGAACAGATCGTGCTAAACACACAAAAAAAGCAGATTCATCTAAATTTTTAAAGCTTAACTAGATTTCACATTATTATTATTCATATCGAATATTAGTAGCAGATGTACATGGATAAGTATCTGAACTTTGTAAAATCACAATATTTGGAAAAACAGAAGCAAGATTATTTGTACTTGAGTATTTAGAAAGCATGCAAAATTGATATATTCAAGGATTCAAGGTTCTTTATTTGTCATACACACCACATGTGGTACATGGGGTGGAACGAAATTGTGTAGAGGGTCCCAGTTACATCCAACAGAAGTATTAAAATGTAAAAGAAAAACCAGTAATAAGATCTAAGATATAAACTAAAAAAAAAAAAAACACTAAGCACTAGTAGCATAAAAACAATACGCCGAACAGCAGCATGCACATGAGTCTGTGTGAGCAGATGAGCACGAATGAACAGCAGCATGAAACAGATCAGCAGCAACATGATGTGATTTATCACAGTGATTATTCTGGTTAGAGATTCATGAGTGTGGTGAAACGTTTCAGCACAAAAAAAAGAAACTGTCCAGATGATCCGACTGAAAAATGTTGGATTGTATACCTGGATTATTGAGCATGGACTTTGTTGTTCACACTTCCTTTTGTTTACTGACCCAGAACGTGCAGCACTCCATCTCTTAATGAAACGAGGATAAAGAGTTACAACATTTAATTTCCTTTTGGGATTAATAAAGTATTTTTGAATTGAATATATTTGAGTTTTATAATGTCATCCAAACTGGCCAGAAAAGCCCTCCTCAATGACATCTAAGTGGCCCACGGGCCACCAGTTGATGAGCAGGTTTTGCGGCTCCATGCACATTGTATTTAGTGAGCGAAATGGCAGAAATGGCTCCTTCGATCAAAAAGGTTGCAGACCCCCGAGTCCTAGACTCAACCTATAAAGATGCAGTCAATGCAGTCCTTCTAGCTCCCTGCAAGAATACTATCTGGTGAAAGCTAATACTTGTTGAATGATGTCAGAGTTCATATATTCAC